ATTTTCAAAGGTTTATAAACATCAAAATACGACAGGAACTGTTCCACAACATCGCGAGACAAAACATAGCCTCCGCCACTGCAATATGGTTTATAGACAGTTTCGTTGTATTCTTCAGGCGAGACGGCGTATCTACCATCTCTCATGACAACACTGCCCACCATAATATTGCCGGTGTAAAATTTGTGCTTTGGCGTTGTGTACTTGCTTAAAAAATCCATCATACCGAAAGTGTTGACAAACACGTCGTCGTCTGACTTAAGCAAGTAACTGTAAGAGCAATATTTTACAGACCATTCGAAACCCATTGCAACTTTATAACTCATGTTCCAGAAATGTTCGTAGTAATCAGCTTGAACCATATCACCATAAATTTCAGCTTCCTTCTTAGAAATTTTCATCTCTTGGTCGTTGCTGTTTTTCCCTAAGAGAAACACAGTTTTCCATTTTGTTTTCAGAGAGTAATCAGCTCCCCACGTCTTGCGTATTATGTGGCGCCGGTCGACATTTCCAACATTCGTCGACACCAAAATAAGAAGAAATAATGTGTTCGGACAAATTACTGTACTCAACAATTTTGTGCGATGAATATGATGCTGAAGAATTGGTTGCCTTGTTGTATAATTCGAAGTTAATGAACTGAATCGACTGCTTTGTCCCGCAGTCAAAGCAGATGATCGCTCAACCGAAGAAGAGCCGGTGCCAGTAGGAAAATTCATATTTATAACGTTTATGTCGTTCCACACTCTCCATATTCGAACAGTTAACAGAAACGCTATACAGATAAGGACCAGTGGAAGAGATTTCCTGACGAAACGAATTGACAGTCGCATTAAACTTCCTGTAGTTGCATTGATACTGCTTTCACTGCCTTCCGCACCTTCGACTCTATAAACTGACAAGTGATGGAATGTGTACCGACTATAAAGCCATTTATAGACACGCCCCCCGGATGCGGAAAGAGAGAATATTCCAGCCGTATCCAGAAGAATGTGCAACGTTAGAAGATTAGAAATTTAAAAAGTAACAAGATCTAGAGAATATGATAGGATAGCAAAGATCTTTCTGTACAAAAAATTTACGACAATAGCAACCTTTGCAATTTAAACAGATATGAACTTCTTACATCGTTGATAAAAAAATTTTTTCGATCTCTCATACGTGATCTCTCGTGGAATCATACCGTAACTGATCACCGCACGAAAAATTTCTTCGATCTCTAGCTACGTGATCTCTCTTGGAATCTACCGTAACTGATCACGGCAAGAAATTCCATAGACAAAAATCTATTTTCATTGTGCCTATTCTCACTGTTTCTCTCAGGTAAAGAAAAACAAGGGGGGTGAAATTCATGGATGATCAAACGTTCACGCCAAGTTATATGTAAGCTTCTGATTAATGATATTCTTATGTCCTTTTTTACATTGTAAAGAGCTTAGAACAGCGATGTATAAGCGCTATATAAATTCCATTATCATTACATTATTAAGTTTTAAACAAAACTTTACCAAACCTAATAAACCAATTTTTACCAAACAAAACTTTACCAGTGAAATTTAAACAAGAAAAGAAAAAAAAACTATAACAATTTTTTTTATTAGTACTATGTAACGTTTTTTTAAAATATGGATTCCCGTAAATTCGTGGTGTATCGCGCTCACCATGTTCGTAAGAGTTAAGGGAACCAATACAAGGCAATCAATGGCTCTTGAAGGCAATATATTCCTTCCTTTCCAGTTGAATGCTTTTTGTCTCTCGACACAAGGACGAAAAATATATATTCAAAACAACTGCATTTTCACAGTCGGGCCACGTAAATCTCCAGGCGTTGGAAAAGGATCTCAATGGGGTTAACCGATAGGCGTAAAACGGCCAAAAATTTAGTCGATAGCCGTAAAAATTGAAAAATTTTAACCGTTAGCCGTAAATAGGGTAAGAAAGAGTTAACCGTAAAAGAAATTGTTTCCTGGATTTGTTAGTTTTAAGGAAGGTGCTACAATCACTTATGGTTGCGTTTTTATTTCCCGGCTACTTTCACTGCTTACGTACGTTAGGCCAAGCGCCTAGCTTTTAGGTGTTGACAGAAACTCATAAGGGGTTGAACAACCCCTTATGAGTTTCTGGTGTTGACCTAGGTCACCTAGACCTAGGCTCCATTTCCGCCGCCGCTCTCACGGCAAACTAATTTTTTCCATAGCGAAAATCTGGCTTCTTGCTGGGGATTAATATTTGAGATTTTCTAGAGGTCGTGCCCTCGAAATAACAGTAACACGCAGAGATGTCATTCTTTGTAAAACACTTCGACGATAAACAACAATTCCATGTAACAATTCCCTGTTTTACTCTGACGCTACGGCGTCTTCCCACGCAATCTTGGTCAAGGCATTTCGGTGGCGTATCTGAGAAAAAAACTCGCTCGGACCACGTGACCCGAAACGCATCAGCCGCGCGGAATAATGAGGCTTACGGACAAGGCAACGGCAGACGGTCGTTCTGTACAGTCCTTCGCTATCATTAAAAACACTGGACACAGGAATTGTTTTACATTGGCCGTTTTCACATTGGAGCTAGAAATGGATTATCCATCTGAGACTAGCCTGTGTACAGTCACCCCCTCCTCCACAGACACTCCTTCTCCCTTCCTCCTTCTGAGGGGAGGGGGCGGCTCTACACAGGCTGCCTGAAATGGATAATCCATCTTCAATTAAATTGTCCGTCAAAATTGGCGGAGAAAGCCAGGCGGATTGTTCTAATTCAAAATTAAAACCATTCCATTTTCAAATTAAGACGTATTACCTATCTGACGCGAATTATCAAACAAATAACCCGTCTCACCCGAATAATCCGCCTCTAGTGTGAAAACGGCCATTTCTGTTATAAATGAATGTCGCGCACCGGCCTTGAGTTAAGCGTTTGCGTCAGTCTGCTTTTTTTTTTTTTTTTAATTGACTATTGACATTTGTATGGGTAAAATAATATTAGAAGTGGAATACTTCATCAAAAGTATGATCTATCAAATGTTAAAATTTTTCAAAAGAATGGCTTAGTTCATCCCGAGATGATCCTAAGACCTTTATTTTCCTTTAAAGATACAAAAAATACCGGTTTATTAATATTTAACTCCTTGAAACAAAAGAAATTAATTTTTAACTTTGTTGTTAACCGTAACTGAAAAAAATTAACCGATAGCCGTAAAAGAGCCAAAATTGTAGCCGATAACCGTAAAAGCTACCACCCCATTGAGACCCTCTTGGAATTGATGCTTGGCAGAGCTGATCATTGAGGGGTGACTCGAAAACAATTCCTCCCCCGGTAAAGCTTCACCACCAACGATCAGTATTTTTACGAAAAAAACATCCTCTGGAACCCATGGTATCATGTGTACTGACACTTGGAAAATGAGCCTAGAACATGCTCCCGGAGCAAAACCTCTCGTGTGTATCGGTCTTATAAGATCGAGGTTTGGCCATAATACCGCAAACGGCAAATAATCTGCGGTTTGCGGTTAGCGGTTTCACGTTATCCGTCTGCCTTTATTTAGGAATTAAGATTCGCGGGTGGTGGCTGACGGCTGCCATGTTTGTTTTTATTCATTCGTTCACTTCTATTTTACCTGAGAAATCTTCACTTCAAAGTTACGTTTCTATGAAAAATAATTCAATAATCAGTTAGCGAAAGGGTTCTAAAAAGGAGTATTTTCTCTCAAACGTGCGATTGTGATGTTTTTAGAGTGCTTTGCGGTAAATCAGTTACCTCTAGAGTAGCCACAGGCGGCCCAAACTCATTACATGAACGCGGACGTGACTCTTGCTTGCGAGCGGTGTTGTGTTACAAACGGTTATTTACAAAGGCTTGTATGGGATCGATCGGTTTTTCTTAAAAGAGATAAAAATGTTATGTTTTAAATAAAATCGACGTACCTTATTGCCTTGTTGTATTCTTTGTTGTTTACCCGCGTCTCAGGCCGTTTTGAAGCGTTTTCGGCGAGTTAGCGCTATTTTGGTGTTCTACTGCTTTCTTTTCTTTCTTTCTTTTCTTCCCCACCCCCTCCCCGCTCTTTCACTTGCGCCACTTTTCTCGCGGTCTTTGACTCTCGTTCCTCGTTCTTTTCTCCTAAACCGTACAGAAACGCTTGCTACGCAGGCTACCTCTAGAGCGTGATCTAGCCCCGGGATCTAGCCGTACATACGTTAACCTCAAACCGCAAACCTGACGGCAAGGCTAGTCACGTGACTTATTGACGTTTGCCGGCTCTCCNTGAACTCAGGCGTGACAGACCAAGTGGGTGGTTTTCAAAATCCCGGGGTTTGTCTGCAAGCGTTTCCTTCCTTTCTTCCCCACCCCCTCCCCGCTCTTTCACTTGCGCCACTTTTCTCGCGGTCTTTGACTCTCGTTCCTCGTTCTTTTCTCCTAAACCGTACAGAAACGCTTGCTACGCAGGCTACCTCTAGAGCGTGATCTAGCCCCGGGATCTAGCCGTACATACGTTAACCTCAAACCGCAAACCTGACGGCAAGGCTAGTCACGTGACTTATTGACGTTTGCCGGCTCTCCCGTTCGGCAGCGTGCGTGGGAGCAACGACCGGTTTGGGACAACGTCTTCGTTTTTAAAATATAGTCCAAAGGGTCTTTGTGTTCGGTGATTAAATTTTTTCACGAAGCGCTTAGCCTAATTATCGCCATCATCGTCATCATCATGATCGCCATAAACTGATATTCATTATCACCTGGCTGGAAGGTGCATGAAGAATATTAGGGTCAGGGTTGGTAGAGTAACTCCGGCACCAAATTCAGCACTGAAGGACCTGAAGCACACTTTACCATTGGTAATATACCATGTTGTAATATACGCACGATCACGCACGGCCATTTCACAAGGGAGAGCTCCTGGGGACGAGCACGTGAAAATCATCACTTTTCACGTGAAGACACGAAGTCCGCTGACCAAAGACAGACATTTCAAGATGGCGGCATAAAAAGCGTCTTCCAGTTACAGTCTATTTGAAAAGAAAAGTTTTTTGCCCTCTTCGGTTTGTTTTCATGAGACAGTATTATTTCAAGTGGATAAAACTGATCCAAAATGCCAGAAAAGGTTAGACATATCGAGTGGGAAGAGATGGATAAAAGAAAATTTTATTTCTTTGGTCCAACATTGTTTCTTGGTATTCGTGCGTTGCTTTACCCGGCGAACTTAGTAAAAACCCGTCTCCAAGTACAACGGAAACACGCACTCTATAAAGGATCATTCGACGCCTTCAAAAAAATAGTGCGCTTTGAAGGCATTCGAGGGCTCTATAAAGGATTTCTAGTGAGCAGTTTTGGTCTTTTGGCTGGACAATGTTACATCACAACCCTAGAATTAGTTAAGACAAGAACAAAACATTATAACACAGCTCTTAGAGGGTTTTTGGCTGGGGGAATTGCTTCAATAGTGGGGCAAACTATCACAGTTCCAGTAGACGTTATTTCTCAGAAGCTTATGGTACAAGGCCAGGGGGATGCCACAGGTAAACTGAAAGGAGCCTCTGTCATTATACGTGAGGTCATAAAGACTGGTGGGCCTTTGGGGCTTTATAGAGGTTATTTGATCTCTCTGATGACTTATGCGCCTAGCAGTGCCATTTGGTGGTCCTCTTATGGTGCATATACAGCATTAGTCGGCAGTATAGTAATATCAGGAACACCTCATTTGTTGGTTTTGGCCACTGCTGGTTCAATGGCTGGATTTACGACTGCGACACTTACAAATCCCTTGGATATTATGAGAACACGATTGCAGGTTTGTTATCGCTTTATTTGTCATTATACAAGAAAATGAAAGGCTAAGGGGGTAAACTGAGGAACAATGATGGGTAGTTATTGGAAGTGCAAAGTTGAGTGGGTTATGCATTGTATCATCTCCAAGAAGTTTCTTGTCAAATCACATACTTTTAATCACCACAAAATCTCGAGCCCAACAAGTCCTCTTTGCACCTCCTCATCACTATCATGCTTGCACTGTCAGCCCTGGGTGTCAGCCTGGAAGCAAAGTCATATCTGATAGCCCAAGGCTAGTGGGTTTTGCAAAAAAATACTGTTTTTAACTTGCTTGATGGGCAAGTGATCTGTTTGGGGGAATTACATAAATACTGTAACACAAATTTTAAAATGGGACTGAAATGTTTTTCAAGCTTATCAGACGAGGTGAAATCTGCAAAAACTAGTATCTCATTACATTCCATGCCAGACTAGACATACCGGTAATATGGTTGGCACAATCCTAGTTTAACGGCAAGGCTGCTGCCTTATGGTTGTCCAGTCGCCAGAGGCTCCTATGATTGCTCATGAGCGACTAAAACTTTAAACAAGGAGCCTTTACAGGTGACTAAAACTTATGATTCTCATGGCAACAGCTTCTATGCCTGCTTCCACTTTTCTGAAAATTTGAAACTCGAACGAAACAAGTTTCAAGCATCTGCTTACTTATTTAGGTTTATCGATTAATTGGCTCCTAGAAATGTGGCTCGGGCTCCTAACTTTTTATTTTAGGAGCCTTAAGGTTTCCCAGAAAATTTTCTTAGGCAGCAGCCTTGAAAGGCAATTAAAAATACATCAGATGTAAGGCTCATGTTGTGTAGCTCACTACAATAAATGAAGCAAGTTGTTAATTAACAAGTGGTGTCGTCACACAACGCTTCTCCCCACAAATGGCTGCTGAGAATCAAACCACATTCCTTTCTTGCCTTTTTCTGGAAGGTTTTTGCATTAGGTTTGCGGTACGGTGACTCCTCTTTTATCAGTGCCCCATCATGTGTGAATGACAGAACAATCAAAATTGTCTCGTGAAATCAAGCAATCAATAAGAGTAGTGTTGCCATAGATAAGCAGCAGCTGCAAGAAAGTCAAGCAAATGTAATGCACAACATGATGTGCTGATAAAGTTGCTGGGTATAGTTTCGGGAAGTCACTCATTGATAATTTATAAGATTGCTTTTGTTTGAAAAAGTACCCTTGAGAGTATAGTCTTCACATGTACAGCAACACAATGAGCACATGCAGCACAAGAAATTCATCATACAAATGCAAGTTAAAAAGAGCCAACCGATCCTGGTAAGAGTCTTGTAGCGAAGTCGTTCGCATCCAAGTGAAGGTTACTAGGCCTATCAGATGTTTTTTTCACTTGGAACTCTGTTAATCGCTCAAAGCAAACTTTTCTACTAATTAACCTTTTCATTGCTTGCAGACACAGAGCCTATCCAAATACAGTGACGATTGATTGATTTGTCTAAAATTGAGTAGTATGTTCACTTCCGGTTTCCAAGGGCCCTAATGTAACTGGGAACATAATCTGAGGGGATGATTGTGTTACCATAGTCTTCTACACAGCCAGTTTTAGTGTCGTCACGCAATGTTCCTCCACACAAACGGCTGCTGAGAACCGAACAACATTCCTTTCCCTTTGTGTTTGTGGTCTAACGAACAACCAATCATGTGTGAGAAAATTGACAATACCTGAGCTGCAGGGCACTAGCAAGGGGCGCTAGGAAGCGAACACACTTGGTTTTCAACAAATCAATCAATCACTGCTGAATTTGGATGTGCTCTGTGTCCGCAAGCAACGAAAAGGTTAATTTGCAGAAAAGTTTGTTTTAAGCGGTTAAGGAAGTTCCAAGTGGAAAAAAAGGTTTGATAGGCCTACATGACTCTTACCAGGATCGGTTGGTTCTTCATTTAACCTGCATATGTACTGATATGTGACTGATATGTATGGTGAATTTCGTGTGCTGGATGTACTCATTATAGACAAAAACTCTTAAGGGTACGGTTAAAAAAAAGCGATCTTATAAATTATCGATGTGCGATTTCCCGAAACTGTACTGGGCAACTTTATAAGCACATCCATGTTGTGCATCACATTTGCTTGACTTGCTTGCTGCTGCTGCTAATCTCATAAATTTTAAATAGGACCCGACTACGACAACACCACTCTAGTTGATTGCTTGTTTTCACGCGATGATTTTGATTGTTCTGTCGTTCACACATGGGGCATCCCATAAAAGCGAAGCTGTGACTGGAAGAGTGACTGTATCGCAAATGCGGTGCGAACACCTTTAGAAAATGGGAGCTGAATAATAATTGGCTAATCGTGAGAAAGGAATTTTATTCCATTCTCAGCAGCGGTTTGTGGGGAGGAGCATTGCATGACGACCCTAAAAACAGCTGTGTGGCAGACTAGTGTTACCAGTGTTTAATTAAAAATCTCACAATCATGTCAATACACTTTGACTGAAAATTAGTCAACCCCACGTGACTATAAAAGATGTCCAAGGTTTTGACCATCTGTTTCCCTTAAGGTTCATTACATTAGTTTGGTTTTTGGTTTGAATGCAGTACTGATTCTGAAAATTGTCATCTTAAAAATGCTTTTTAAAGGTTGGTGGTGGAAAATCAACATATGTTATACACATGTTTCGCTCCTTACTTCAAGAAGAAGGACCATTTGGACTAACTAAAGGATTGTCGGCAAGAATCATTGCAATGGTTCCATCAAGTGTTGCCATGGTACTGGGGTATGAAACAGTCAAAAGACTTAGTTTGAAGTCATCAGATGTTGATATACAAGTGCAAGAAGAAGGTTATTTAGAAGCATCATTTTGAAATGTCAGCTGTAAAGAATTCACTTGAAGAGATGTCAGGCTCTTGCCCTTGTAAATCTGCAAATAAGCACCAATAACTCATCTTTTAGGATATGAATAATAACAATTGTTATTAGCTGTAAATATCAGCTTGCAGTTCTCCCAATATTACTATCAAGCTGAGGGAATAATGTAGAATGAAACCTGTATCACCTGTCACCTACTCCTTTAATGACTTATAGTGCGACAATGAAAACAATAAGATTATAGGGCATCCAAATGACAGAAGAAAAGCAGGGTACGATGCTAGGTGTCTGTTTTAAAATATAAGTCCATCTTGTAATAAGGTGTCAGTTTAAAGAGTTGGCTGTATTTTATCACACTTTTTTTTTCTTTGCGGTTCTAACAAAGCTACGACATGAAATTGCCTTTTTTTATATTTAAAGGAGGATGTAACCAACTGGCGACAAAATAATAATTATTTTATCTCTCTTTCTGACCTGGATATGGTTCCTCAGAATTAAATTCTAGAAGGGTTCACCTACATTTGAAAAAGTAAGTTGTGATAAAGACTGACAGAACACAAACTGTTGCTTGTTAATAGGTTTATCAGTTGTTTTCTGTAGTTATTAGTCCAGCATGTTTTACTTTTTAATGTGTTAGAATGATATCATTGTTTATTTATACTGGGATCACTGCTAGAAAGGAGCTCATCATGTCAGGTTTCCACTGTGTGATATTAGGGTGCTAACCTGTGATGAAAAACGTTGGCGGACAGCCGCTAAACAAAAAAGGGGAAAAGGGATGCCTGATCACAGGGTAAAAGGATGCTATATTTGCTTGAATAAACACTGCCACAAGATAAGCTCCTTACTTTAGAGGAAATATATTGAGAAGCCCCACCCCTAAATAAGAGCAATAGAGTTGATGCGACAAAACAAATGGAAGCAAAAATATGAAGCACCATGTTATTTGTGAATCAAGTAATTTAGAAAAACACCCCCCACCACCGCCTCCTTAGAGTGAGGGCCACACTGGAAAGTCAAAGAACTTAATAAGTGCTTTGACATTATTTATTCGAAGAAATAATGATAAATTGTGTCTGTGTGACTTTTTACATCGCAACATTTTACATATAGCACATTCCAAGCAAAATGTAGCAGTAATGGGAATGAAAAGCAATGTCATAGTTACTCAACATTATGCAAGTAGTATCGTAGACATTAAATGGTGACTATTTGGGAACATTTCTCTAATTTATTGTTTTTAATTTGTGCCTGACAAATATAATATTGTAATTTTACCAAGATTGCTGTACTGGGGAAACAGTATTACTGATAGAAGATCTATCAAGACAAGAATGCAATATTATTTGTTCTGTCTGTAAGGTTTTCTAGTAACATTGCAAACAGCACCTCAGACATGTTTCTTTGAGCATTTATGTTTTCTAGCATGGTGTATGTAAGTGTTTCATTGTGCAAACTGGACACCATTTTATAAATATTGTACAACTCTAAAGCGAGTCCTATATTGTGGCCTGTGGAATGTGACCTGCCAAAAATACCTGACGCGTCAACTGCCGCTTAAAAGCTCCCCTACTTATAATTTATAATACACCCCAGTCACCTGTAAACAAAAAAATACATCCAATAATAACCCCTCCCCCCCCACCCCTTGGATGTAAGCCCGCCTGCAAATGCATTGAAAAATGAATTTCCGATATACGCTTCCACAGCGTCTTGTTTTTCCAGAAATTCCAACCCTCCCGATTTAACGTGTTAACCTCTCGCACTCCCAATTTATCATGAAATTGAGAAAACAAGGGGAAAAATTGCGTATGTATGTATGTATGTATCAACTTTATTTAAAGAAGGTAACGCTAAACGGTAAACTGACAAAGCTGCAGCCCTCATTACAAGACAACTACAATTAAAAATATACATAGATTAATCTGAAAATTACAATTCAAAGTACAACAGTAAAGTGTACAATTAAAGGTTGTGAATAGGAAGTTATCAAATAATAAATTACAACAAAGAAAATTAAGAAGATGCATAAAAGTCAGTTAAGGCCTTTTTAAAACTATGTACACTTTCAATCTTCTTGAAAGAATTTGGCACTGCATTCCACAATCTTGTAGCCCTCACACCAAATGTATTCCCCGCCCCCGCCTCGGTTTCACGCCTTTTATATTTTTAAAAATTTGATTATCCCTAGGTTGATACAACAAAAGCTCTAATAGAGAGGAGACGTCGTTACGTCAATTGCCATAGTAGCAAAAATTTTAGATGACAACAAACCGAAAAGTCAGCTAAAAGTCTATTCACACTTTTTCAAACTTCACCGATCTTATTAAATTTCATTTAATATGGCAAATTTCGGCGAAATTTTCTTTGGGACAGTATCTATCGTTATCTAAGAAAAAGAAAGCGACAATTTTTGTTTTGTGTTCACCAGTGTTCGCCTAATCCATAAAGCAGGCGCGTGAAATTTGGACGTTTCATGTCCTAGTGGTACAACGACGACAAAGAAATGTACAAAATAGCGTGATGCATCAGCAAAGTAGCCTGCGTAGCAATCGTTTCCGTGCTGTTTCGAGAGTCAAAGACCGCGCAACAAAGACCACGCGAAAAATTGGCTGTCGTTTCATTTCTCGCGCGGCCAAAACCTAAAATCTCGTTCATCGGTCTTTCTTTGCTCCGAAACAGCACGGAAACGCTTGCTAAGCAGGCTACCAGCAAGTTGTTGTTTGTTTGCCGTTCTCCTTGCCGTCGCCGTCGTCGTTGGTTTTGTTGTCATCCAGAAATAGTGCTACCACGGTAACGAGACGTCACACTTCTCCTCTCTATTTGCACACGAAAGGGAAACCCTAAAGGATTCTGGTAGAAGTAATGAAATGACGTCATCGTCCAAATAAAGTTTTGCCTTAGTTCTTTTTTGCTCTTTTCTCTTTAGCCCCTTCCTCATCGCCGGTGACATTTTACTCCCGCAATAGTCTCCTCTCTATCTCCTTTCTAAAGGACCTAAAGCTACCACACGGGCTTTTTTGCAGGATAAGCCAGGGCCCACTTGCTTGAGAGTTGAGATTATAGAAATCTGTATTTAAAAAATCTGTGGCAACGGGGAAGATTTTTTCCTCCGAAAAAATTGGCTGTGCCGGACAAAATACAGTTTGATCCTTCCTTCCTTCCTTGGTCTCAACTTTTCGGGGAAAATTATTTTGGCGGCAAAGCCACCATCCACCTCCGGTTTAATTACTCACTGCATCTAGCCAGAGTTCTCCTGACACCCTCCTGAATTCGCTCGTAGGCTGAAAGACAAGAAGACAAGTGCGTATGCCAGCAGTCATGGAGGTTCAACAGGTAACCTTTACGCCATTTAATGGTAGAACGGGGGAGACTATTTTGAGATCAGCCTTCTATATCAAACTATGATATAGAAACTCAAGGGCAACAAAGAAAATCTGAAAAAACGCTAAAAATTAACAAGATGTTCGTCCTTTTTTGCTAATGTTATATGATCACGGATCTTGAATTAGAGGGGAACCGGGAAAGTACCTATTTACGCAAAAGTATTCTTGATAGCTTTTTTGATACTCCATTTCTTTACCAGTCTTTTTTAATTTCAGTTGATTGTATGTTAAATTACTAATCTTTGTTAATCCGAGTGCAGTTTTTTTCCTTTCTTAATGTTAACTATTGAACACTGGGTATAGCTTGTCATTTTATAAGTGCCATTTATATTCCAGCGTCTCTGACACGGAGCCATTTGTATTTCTAGATTGCAGGATAGACAAATATTGATTTTCTATGGTCTTGTAGATTAAATTCACCTGCTGTCTGAACAATGTTTATCATACAGCTCCGTCTTAAATTAACGAGTTAACAAAATCTGGCAGGTGTTTAAAGGAATCATCGGTGATAATGGCCCAAAGCATAGGTAACATCATCGAAGCCTTTATCCTTTCTATCATTTGCATCGTGTCAGTTCTTGGAAACTTAACTGTGTTTGTAATCTTCACGAGACGGCATGCTTTTCGCACTGTCACAAACGGGTTTCTTCTTAACCTTGCATTTGCCGACTTACTAGTTTCCGTTCTCAACATGCCGATTACAGTAGTCACAATTGTCAAACAGCGATGGATATTTGGAAAAAACGCCTGCGTTTTACTGGGATTCACTACATTGCTGTCGTTTGTTTCGTCCGTGATGTGGCTTGCTATGATTGCAATCAACAGATATTATTACGTAGTAAAGTGGAAAACGTACTCTGTTGCATTTAGACCAAGACGATCTGTTGTGTTTGGAGCGATTGTTTGGTCAATGTCGTTGTTATTATCCCTTCCTCCAATTTTTGGTTGGGGGGAATTTCGCTACATCCCTGGAAAATCATTCTGTTTTGTTTACTGGCCATCTGACGTTTATTACATGTACTTCATGTTGACGGTATGTTTTTTCGGTCCTCTAAGCGTTATGTCTATTTCATACTTCAATATTTTCAAATATACAAGGGTAGCCCGACAGAGCCTTAATCAACACAGGGATGTGACAAACGAAGAAAAAACTGCGCAAGAAAATGGCCGAATCAGAAGAGGCTTTAAAGTGACGCCGGAAGAAGTTAAAATTACCAACACTATACTCGTTGTTGTTGCTTGCTTCATGTTTTGTTGGGCACCTTTTGCCATGACCATGTTTACTGATGTTTACTATAATCGCCCAATTCCAAGAATAATTGATATTAGCACATTGTTGTTAGGTTACGCTAATAGCATGTGTAATCCTGTCATTTACGGAATAAGGAATCAGTCCTTCAGACGAGAACTTAGTCGTTTATTCAGGCGCTGTTATGCACCTTCTCATACAGTTCCAGCAGTGAAAGTGGTGCCAGCAGATCGTTCACAATGCCCAGTAAACATTGACCAGTCTCTAGAAGGAGCAGAATCATCAAAGTTGTATTTTAAATCTTCAAGTGACGAGGCTACAGCCATATCAACATGTAATTTTGAGGGTTGAATTTGAAGAACTCTGTTTAAGCTAAAAACTTTACAGAGGCCAAAATATCATGTGCCACTGAATACAGTGGCAGAAATTTTGAAAGATACTGTAATCATATGTAAGCTTAAGTGTGCTGCAAAGCCGGGCTTACTAAACCTCTTCATTGCAGGTGCAGTATGATGCTGAAATGTAAAATAAAGTACAAAATATCCACTCGTCTCAATTATATTACTGTCCCAAATATTTGTTTGTGGTGGTAATCCACCTGTTTTTAAAGACATCTCAAGTTTAAAGGGGCTGTGTTCATAGGCTCAAGAAAGGAAGTTTTTGAGCGACGCTCTTAAACCGTAAGTGGACCTTTTGCATTGGTTAAGAATGCAAAACGGCATCCCATATTTTCGGGGAAATCGTCTGTATACGAATAAAGCTGAGACTTTCTTAGCAAGACAAATTTGGTAGCGTCAATTTAAGGAGGACAGACGGCAAAATGGTGTTACTCGAAATATTAAAATGAAAAAGGACATACCTCCCAATAACGCGTCTTTACCCGTTAAGGAATTTGATGTTGGCAAAGGATTAGTTGTAAATTCAAAAGGTACATCTTCGTATCAAAAAAGTATCTTTCCTAAAGCACTAATCAGTGTTACAATCAATAAAAATGAACTTTAAAAAGCTGTTAGGCTAACAAGTTTTTTTTTAAAAAGTGCAAACGCAATCCGCTTAAATCTTCTTTCATGTTTGTCCATCCGTGCCTTTTGTTGTATTTTGTGTGTTATTTATACCTTCCTTAATTTTTTTGAGCCGTTGCTTTAATGTTTTACTCAAATTGGTGGCAGTTTTCATTCAGTCTGATAAACTTCGATGAACTTCATGACCGCCTTTAATATCCACAATGAGCTCAAATACCACTGAATTTGAAAGACCTCCGCTATTGATATATTTGAAAATATCAGTATTAACGTCACTTCAGGTTGACCCAACGACAATTTTCGGAAAATATCTGTTCGGAAGACGATTTGAGATCTAGAATTTTCGGAACATTTTTGCCAAAATTTCTTGCTTGTCTACCTCTGCTAGGATTTTCGAACATCTAAAAATGGTATAATTGCGCATTTTTAACGGATTTTTACCCTAAAAAGGTCACCTACAATTTTCGGGAGCCTTTTTTCTGGCTGAAATTTTCGAAAAGGTAAGTTTTGATCCCTATAATTTTCGAATCACTAGACTTTCAGCTAAGAAATCCAAACAGATGAAAAATTTTTAGGGGATAAAAATATGCCTATACCTACCTTTTTAATACTAAAATACGTTGAACAATGCTATGTTCAAGTGGTTTTGAACTATATTCTCGTTGGGTGCCCCTGTCACTTGTCCAGTTCCTCTGATCTTACTCAGCAAACCTTGTCAATGTTACCTTTTGTTTAGAATAAACTTATCATTTCTTATAGCAGAGCAAGCTAAGTTGCCTTCTTTTTTTATAAAAGCGTCCTTAGGGAGTGTTGTTAGTGTGAATCTGAAGGGCGACCCGCACCGATTTGAAAAATTGTTTTTGATTAGCCGGGACAACAATAGGGATTGTCACATAACAATGCCCCTATCCCTGAAAACAATGGAAGTGCAGATTAAAGGGGACCAGTGAATTAAGAGGTTTAGAACGGTGCAGCTCTACTGAATCTGATCCCCTCTGTCGCTCAAATTGTTTACTGTATGGCTAGATCTCGTTTTTTGGGTGATGGCGATTGATTCCTAAATGGTACTGAACGAAGATCGCCATGATGCTCCAGACTTTGTATATTTACAAGTAAGCGAGTGGTTTGTTTGTTCCGTCATGTTTTTTTCGATTATGTTTTTACTGAAACTCCACGACTTATCATTCTGACAATTGACCGTGAAACTTGGAACTGACTACCCCTGGTTTTTTTTTGTGGCATTACAATGTGAGCTAGTAATTTAAGTTAAGTAGATTATTTAGCTGAAAGTTACTGAAAGCTTCGCTTTTAGGTTTGTTTTTATGGAAGATGGTAGTGCTTAATCTTGTAAGCGCTGGTAAACTTTGCTCCTCACACCCACTAAATAAGTCGTTCCCCGGATACTTTGATATTCGAGCCCCATATAATGGTAGATTTTGTGTACGCGCTCGGTCCGTTTTTTTTTTTAGTCGTTGACTTACCAATAGCCTGGGACCAGGCTCCGGATTGGGTGAAAGAAAAAAAAAATGAAGATAAATTGGACAGTGAAGCGAGCCGAGCGGTAGCCTGGGGAGGGGAAAGGTTTTTTTTTTTTTTGCTGTGTCACACTGTTTTTTTTGCTTTGCCTTTTTTCCTCCACTCATGTGGAGCCTTGTCCCAGGCTAACTTACTACCACAATATCTGCAAACTATTGACGCCTTGATCTTGAATGTAAACAACAATTGCTTTCAGGCCTTTCAGACGCTTTCTATGTGGTACTGTGTTTATCATTTGCATACTGAGACATTCATCATTCTACCAGTCTTTTATAATATTTGAAATCTAAATCCAAAATTATAAAGAAAACAGTTCGACAACGTCCATTTCTCTGATTGGTTAAAACTGACTTGAGTATGAATGCATTTTCACTAAGTATATGTATCCGTAAGAATATAAGGTCATTAAATAATAAAAAAAAGACGTAGCGTTGTTAATCTGATCTAAATGAAGTCGAAAGCTTGTCAGTGATTCTTGGACATTTTAAGGAAACCTTAACTAGAAAATCTTGTTATTTTCCCGGGTGGGTGTTGTGTTGTATCTTTGTTTTCAGTGTTTTCTCGATTTGTTCTGCTTTTTACCCCCAAGTTGTCCATCCAAGTCAGCTGATTGTAAATCGCCGAAGTTTCAGCTGATCTGACTCTCGCACCCTCCTAGTGAGAGGTGTCGAGCTTGTGAATATACTACAATGGTACATTTTTGTCCCCTTTACTGAATTACAGTGTACTGTGCTGTGTATGTCATCAGCTCACCTATGTTCAACTTAATTATTTGTTCAAGGCACACTTTGTCTTTCACAGACTTATGGGACATTTATAACGCAAATTGAGATTTACATTGTTACATGCACCAGACTATATAAGATTGCTGAACTTTATTTTCACATCTGAATCAATATATATCATGGAGAAACACTTCCTGAATCGTTTTCCAGATTTATAAGGGAAGTGCTTTGTTTAAGCTGGTCGATTCAGGTGCACTGGCAAAAAAATAAATAGCGAGTCGATTAAAAACAATTTCGCTCTTGTTTGATCATCAAGTTAATCATCTCACTGAGTAGATTCATACAAGCTTTTCAGGTAAGTTGAATTTCAATCGCTACTTGCAACGTACTTACTAACATTTTTCCAACGTTTTAATAATAAGTTTGGATTTAGTATTAGTCTTTGCATTCGCTTGCATATTTTTTTGCCATCAATGTTGAAAAAACTAAGTTAGCTCACTGTTTTCTTTTCTTTTACAGATCCGACAACAACTACAACAACTACAACGTAGCTGAAAGGTAAGCAACTAAAACGCAATCACATTCTTGACTTGTCGTAGTAACCGCGCGCAAGTCTTTTTAGTCTGACCGGGCTTTTTCAGTGGATATTGACGTTTACGACGGATCCATCCTGAAATTTCCTGCTAGTGATTTCCAACAAGATCAGGTGTGTGCAAATTGTACCGGTACACCTCTGGACTCTTCCTAACGCGGACCGTGACCTCACAAAGTGAAGACGGACTGACTTTGTCCTAACCTGCGATCACGCTTTTGCTTTTTTATCAAAAAGCGACAAAGGATCGACCGCCTGATCGCAGGTTAACTTTGTCGTTATCAGAATTAATTAGAGTTCAGACTAAGCCTGTTCTGCGAACAGTCAGTATCTTTTTGAAAGTTAGTGGCGTGCCAAGCGATTTTTCTTTCGCGTGCCTCACTTGACTAACTGGTAAGAACAAAAAGCAGGGGCGCCAGTGGCCTTTTTTTCCCGTAAACACTGTGCCTTGCCGACAACACTAGAGATGGGTAAAATAAACAACTAACTACTGCATTTTCCTGCGTATTAATTTAAAGAAAATATCCTGCGGAGAACGCTGGAAATGGCATTTGCCAGACCCTAAATTTAGAAATTTTGTGTCGAGCATGCCCCCAGACCCACCTAAGTTGGGCCGCTTTCGGCGCTACAACTTTTCCTCCCCACGTGCGTACACCTTCAAAATCTCACTCTACGCCCCTGTGAAGAGGCCCCTGTTTAGTATAGCCTGCGAGCAAGCTCTCCATTTAGGGGATATCGTGAAAAGCACACGCGCGAGTGGCAAGCGAGGGGAGACGCGACAGCTTCGCTCGTCCAAATGGAGGGCTTGCTGGCAGGTTATGCTCAGCAGTATAAGTAACGACGCAGCTATCTGGTGCCTCTGCACATCTCAAATTCTGGTGATTGCTCTACTTGCTAGTTTTTTTTACATATTTTTTTCGATAGATGAAGTCTGCAGTGATTTTTTCAATCCTTTGCTCCTTGATCATCGCTGTGAGCTCTGCTGACACCGACCAAGATAACAACGCCTGTTATAACAAGTGCAACAATGACCATGGAAAATGTGTCAACGACTGTTACATTAGTGGAAACAACAGCTTTTCTTGCCTCTGGAAATGTAGAAATATTTATTATGCATGTACCAGGAAATGCTACATTAACGTAAACAAAACCCCATATTAATGAAAAATATTGACTCTGCTTTGTGTGATATGAAATGAGCGAAGAGGCATTAAAGGAATTTAACCAACCTGCTTTTTGAGTGTAGCGTTTCGTTTTGTTAAATTTTGATTAAATTTTATTAAATTTTAATTTAAATTTTAATTTTTTTTTGTATTAAAATACAAGGTCATTACATAAGCAGCCTGATTCATTCAGTCATTGACGTTGGCCATGCATACAATACGAACATCCCATCCATAAACGACCACCTAATTCTAGAGTTCAAAAGAGCCTTGACCGGATTCGCTCCGCTCACTTAAAAACTCATGAGGTCGA